CGTTTTTTACAATTGATTACTTTCGACAATCTTTGTCCACAATTACATACGAGTAGAAGCACAACAATGTTCAAATCAAAACGATTTATAAGTCAAAGAACAAGCCAAAGTACGAGTAGGTCCTACAAAATAATCTTATGTCACAGAAGTTCCACATGAGCGGAGGCGTTTCTTTAGTTGATACCCAAAGGTCAAGGACAAGTGTATTCTATCCTTGATCGTATGTAGTACTGATATGTTTGTTATTCATGACTATTATCGTACCTAGTTATTTTAATATTATAACTTTATGTGACATTATTTGTTTTTTAACCATCAGACCTAGTGTTTGACGCAAATTATACTTTTTGGGGGTTATTGTCCTCTTTTCTTTAATTTATAAAGCATGATTTACACTAACTTGTGATGTTATTTAATGTAAATATTTTATTAAATTTCCTGTTAATGAATATATAAATCGGCGACGGTAGCATAGTAAGTAAGTTTATAAGCATGTATATACACATTACATATATGTATGTATGTATTATTGTATGTAAATATATGTTATACATATTTAAATATATATATTTAAGTATATGTTGTGTATGTATGTACTATTTATATATTATATTTTAATATAAATACACTTTATTTATGTATTATGTTTCGCACCTGCCTACAATTGTCTTTGGCACCCAGGATTGACTGGCAGAGAATGCCATATGGCATTAAGTCCGCCCTATGTACCGTTTACCTTAAGGTGTTACATTTAAGTTTTTGAATAAATAAATAAATAAAATAAATTAAAGGTGGGAGACATTTAGAACTGCGATTACCAATCATCTATGTACCCAGGGTGAATTAACGGGAGGAGTCCGTATCCAGAAGTGGACTTCTAGGGGCTGACGAAAGGACAACTTACATAATTTTGACGGCTCCGTGGCGCAGTGGCTTAGCAATCAGTTATTGTGCTGGGGGCCGCGGGTTGCCGAATCCCGCACGGAACAAGTATTTGTATGGCCTACAAATAATTGTTCCGGGTCTGGATGTTTGTCCTTGTGAAATTTATGTTTGTAAACTGCCTCCACGACACAGGAGAAAATCCTAGTGTGGGTAACGTTTTTTAAAAAAAATAATAATCATGAAAAATATTAAATATATATATAAATAGCAAACAAATTTCTATATATATATATATATATATATATATATATATATATATATATATATATATCTTTAAATATAAAAAAATCGTGTCACGTTGTTTGTCCGCGATGGACTCCTAAACTACTGAACTGATTACAATGAAATTTTGCACACTGTGTGCATTTTGGTCCAACTTGAGAGATAGGATAGTTTTTATCCCGATAAATGACCCTCAACATTTTTATTGGTAATTTAAGGATTTTTATAGGACAAAGTCGGAGAGGGCAGTACGACGTCTGCCTGGCCAGCCAGTATATATATATATATATATATATATATATAGTTGTCCGTTAGTCCAATAAAAATCGAAAACTGCTCGACCGATATTGATGAATTTTTCGTGTGTTTGAGTGGGTGTCCGGAGATCCGGAAATCACCAGTGCGGCCGGAGCGGATGTACTGTGCGATGGTGGTGTAAGTGAATCCATAACCCAATATCGTCCCATGGGTGTCGTAAGATCGCCTCTCGATATGCCAGAAAGGTCTTATGACTTCTGATAGATAACAATATAAATCTCGATTACGCCATGTGTAAATCATCAAGATCAGCGACAGAGAGCAGCGTCAACGGTGATAGACGTCTTGTTGCGATTCTCAATCTATTCTACACCGGGAGAGGCACATATTCAGCGGTGGACTTTTATTGGCTGATGTGGAAGTTTTTTTAAAAGAAAAGGGGTGACGAATGGGCACACAGTTCACCTGATGGTAAATGAATACTGTGGCCCATAGACATCTACATCTATCCTCGATTACGAATCAAAATGCAGATGCGTGGTTGACTAAGTGAGGGCTAAGATGGAATGCCCCGTTTCCAGTAAAAAGGGTCTCCGGTTCTCTACACTCATCATACGAAGCAACTTTGAGCTGCTATTTTACGCCACGCTCGCATAGAAGTGCGAGCGTGGCCCTTCCCCGGTCGAGCAGAACCATTCGTGCTACAACTATTGAAGGTTTGTTTAAATTTTTTTAATTCGTCCGTGAAGATTTATGATCACAATATCTCTCTGAAGATGGAGCGAAGAGAAGATAATTCAGGCACAGTCGAATCACTTTTTCGAGAAAATCGACGAATTAGGTACGCATAGTAGAGCTTAAGTGAGAACTGGATTTAGATTGGATCATCAGCAATGCAAACCGTTATTTATCACTACCTGTACTTAAGCGTTGTTCAAGATGGGTGCCCCGCACAAACCTACCGAGATGGCGGCGAAAAAATACGATTAAACGTGGCTACAGCTGGCGATTAAACATGGCTATATACTTATGGTACCAAAGTCAAGCGATAGCATACTGTATGGTGCTTTGAAGATGAGCCTACTCCAATGAAATATTATACCGTGCGTTAAACACACAGATATAGTTGCCTAATCTAAATCTATCAACTTGGGTGTGGCATCTTCTCTAGCACCACGACAACGCTTGAAAGTGCCAGCCAATGTTTTACAAGACTGATAGAAAACTTGATTCTTTTTAACCGACTTCAAAAAGGAGGAGGTTCTCAATTCGAGTGTATGTTATTTTTTTGTTTGTATGCTACGCGATATCTTCGCAGATTGTGAACCGATTTTAATGATTCTTTTTTTCATTAAATAGACTTTACCTCAAGAGTGGACTCATTAAAATATGAAGAAAAACGTCCACCGCCAAGGGTGCAAAATAGGGGGAAAAGTTTCATATTGGACTAATATTTAAGAAATTTCATATGATATTTTCGCAGACTGAGAACCGATATTAACGATTCTTTTTTTAATAAATAGATTGACTTGGCAATAGCACTAAACAATCTAATTTAATATAATATGTATTACTTGTGAGATACATTGTGCTTTCATGCGATGGTCAAGTCAATCTATTTATTTAAAACATAAAAGATTTTTAATATTGATATGGTCACTATAAGATGTTGTTAGGTTAGCTAATTACGTAATAACTTAAGACAGAAGGACCCTTAAATAGGGACTGAATAAATTAATCGACTTGGTATTACATGGATCTCACAACTTTTTACGGTAGAAGAACTGAGTTGCGAGACTTGGTTTTTTTACAAGTTATGTTTTTGATGGCATAGGTTATACTTCAAGGGTGGTCCTATATCTATATCTTTATATAAATTTAAAGAAAAAATTCCACCCCTAAGGGTAGTAAACAAATAACTTATTTTTTAGTAATTTGAAGTCAGTTTTTACTTTTTGCTAAAAGTTATAATTATGTAATTCAAAAAATGAGTTTTATATCCATAGATCCTTCGTTCCTTCGTCGTACGTACTACCCGCCATACCCCCTGATCTAAGTCACGTGTAATTTTTAACAGCTTCTAAAAATCGCTGAAAAATTAAACGGCAAAGGAGACGAACTGGCTGCAATCGGTGGCAAGAATGGTAAAAGGTAAAGGTAAGTACCTACTATTTTCCAAGTGATCTAGACGTTTGGGAAAGTGTGTAGGTTGCTCAAGGTGAATACATAATTTAAAATTAAAAATTTTGTACAGCCGACTTCAATATAAGTTATTTAAGAATAACTTAAAAACTATTGGTCTGACCTTGATCAAATTCATATGGGACCACACGAGAAGTACCAGCTTTCAAATAAAAAAAGAATCATCGAAATCGGTTCACCCAGAAAAAAGTTCTGAGGTAACACACATAAAAAAAAAAAACGAAAAAAAAAAAAACATACAGTCGAATTGAGTACCGGCTCCTTTTTGGAAGTCGGCAGAAAAGAGTTCAGAGTACGTTTTCACAATAATTTATAATAAATATTACAATTACCTATAATTTTTAGGTACCTATCTTATTTTTTAAACAAACATTACTCTAACCCTTCTATAATATAATATTTTTATTAAAAGTTTAAAAATGCACAAACAAACAACACAAGCACACATTGTCTTTATTCTGTCACTTTGTGCCTATTTAGTTTACATCTTATCTTTTTTTATAAATAGTTGAACTTTCTTAAGTATGTTATTACTCCAAGGTTTTATCTACCTCTGGGCTCGGGGGGTGGTCTCGAGACCAGTAACACAAGTTTTCAAAAATATAATATGGACACCTGTCCTTCACACTTATTTTTTTATCATATACATATCCTTATGAACTCAATGCATTATAGGAATGGAACTGTAATGTTAGAAGGAAAATAAAGGTTATAGCGAAGAGTATTAAATATATAAATCATTACGTTACCTCGTTGGGGGGATAATTATCGTTATAATCACCACACAGATTTTTTATTGTAATTGTTAAATTGTTATCAAGAAGATGCTGTTGCCCATCTCTCGTATTTTCAGTTTCCCTTTGTTGCTTTTCCTTTATAGGACAGTTACTATACTCTTTGGTCGCCTCTTACAACACCCAGGGAATGATATGGGATAGTGAATTATCTTAGGCCGCCTCTACATACAAACCAATAAGTATTTTGTTTATTTACAAATCCATGAGGATATAAAATTTTATTTGTTGTGAGGAACATTACGACAAATAATTTCAACGTATCTGATAAATTTCAAATTTAGAAAAATATTTCTTTATGTTATAAAACTAAAAAAATATTAATTTATTATATTATTAACTTATCACAAATCATAATAAATAATCTATATATCTTATACTTATATTATATTATTCAAAACGTTGCTATAACCACGAATTAAAAAAAAAGTCGTTTATTAATATTACAAAAATGATAATCTGATTGCATTTGTAAATTTGCAATGTCTTAAAAAGTCGTTAACTATTCGCTTATTCGCATTTTATCAATGTTTTTTTTTTATGATGGTTTATCAATAAAAACGAGATCATGCATCTTACCTTATAAACGCTTTAATTGAAACGAAGCGTAGTCATGTTAAACATATAAACACAAGGATCGAATTTTTTTCATCTCTATTAATATTTTTGTAATCACATCAAGGCAACCACAATATAAACAAAAAAATCCACACAACACACACTGTCGCGGCTACACCACGCATCGACTGTAAAATACAAATAGATGGAATTGGAATAGAATAGATTTCAAGTTAAGACCTTTTGGTTTTACAATTAGTCTGAAACGAGAGAGAACACAATGCTGATATACCCAACCGTATACGCGAAAAAGATGTCTAGATACATGGTTATTCTGCTTAAAGTGCGTTTGACGCAACCGCATGATGTCATGCCAATGCTGCCATTTTATGATACCGTTTTCGTTTTGGTTTACCGGTGTATAACCAAAACAATTTGATCTTTCGAATATGTATTACATTCTCACGAACGAATTACATTTCTATAAACCAAATACTAAAACACTGGATCTATTTTATGTTATTTTCTTTGCATTAGTAATTAATAATTGTGATGTATAGTAATTTGACATCATGAACGACCTTGGCCTAGGTATCTGGCTGGTGATTACTGGCGGCTACTGTGTCACGGGTTTGATCCCAACCGGCACAACCCAACAATATTTGTGCAAAAATGTCTGGATCAGTAGAATATTAATAAGTCTTGCCTTGCCATGCTTCATGGGCGGCGGTAGTCACCATATAAAAAAGTACTCTGTGGTAGTCACTTACCATCAGGTGAGCCGCATGCTCGTTTGCCCCCTCTTCTAAAAAAAAAAATAATTAGAATAGAATAGAATAATTTTTTATTCAATATAGATCACATGTGTAATTCTTATTGAAAGTCATTTTTTACTTTACCACTAGTTCGAAAAAAATCCTCTGTCCTGGGAAGAACCAGCAAGAAACCCAGCGGGACTTTTTTTAAAAAAAGCATATTTTACATTAATGGTTGGTACAAAATTTATTTTAGAAACAGCTTGGAAGCGACCACCTCATTCCCAAGGATTATCAACCATATATTCATTTATACTATAATAACCCTTTTTATACAGTTTCAACTTAACAAAACATTTAAACTTGGTAATAGATTGTTTTCGTATACTGTGGCTCATCATTCGAGTTTGACGTTGATCCAATTGTATGGAAGGTATTAACGTAAAGACAAACAAACCTTACGTTTATAATACCTATACCTAAGTCTTGCAGGGGCATGCTCGAGTTTCGATTTAATGTTATTATCAATTGGGATCCCAATGGAACGATAGCATCCGGCCATCTTATCCATTGAAATTTGGATGTTTTTAATTGCCTCATGAATAATTATTAATTATTGTTCTTGCTTGAGGATTTATTGTTGTACTTAATGGCGGCGACGACCTTGAACATCTTCACACAGTGGCGTAACATAGGTAGCTCCCTTAGATTATTGCACAAACTATATAGAAACACTACGCGTTGGATTGTGTGTGTGTGGATTAGTGGATTATTGAGAGTAAATAATCTAAGGTAGCTCCCTTCAAAATATCAAAGTTATCTAAGTCTACTATAGTATTTGTATTTCACAAGTGGTAGAGTCACGCCGCAGCTATATTTTAGTTCTAGCACAGAATAAATAATATCTCGAATGGGTTAGAAAAACGCTCTCACAGAATACTATAGCGTAAAATAGCAGCTTCGCACTCGCCATACGAAATGCCTTTGTATTTCGTATGGTGAGAGTAGTAAACCGGAGATCCTTTTTCTATTATTTAATGTTCTTAAAGATGATGCTAATAACTGAACTACTTGCTCACTATTATAGATCTGCAGGTATTGTTTAAATTCTACGGAAGAGAATTAGCGGGTAAAAGCTAGTATAATAAAAAAACAAGAAATACAAACATTATTGTATTTAATTTATTTCATCAAATTCGTACAAAATTAGCATTAACTTGGACCCTTTTAGGGTTTATAATATACCTAAATAATTATAAATACATATGAATATATGACATTTTAGTTTTTTTTTAATATAATAAAACAGCAAAAATTATTAAGATGTTATAAACAAATTAATACTGATCTATTCGTTGCTATAACTTAATATAATATGTCATCAAAATAATAAAATCTATGTACACACTGTAATCCAAAATAAGTGTCCTACTATTAACAAATATTTATGTATAGGTATATTAAGTATAGATAGATTTTCAATAAACTTGCTAAAGCGCATACAAACAATTAACCTAAATCACATCAAATAAAAGCGTAATTCGTTCAAAATCATTCCAAACACATTTTTGGAAAGCTTAAACTTAAAATGAAAGTATCAGAACCAAACCAGTCTTCGTCTCAACATTGTCTAGCAGCGATCAGCAAAAGACGTACGGTCTCACGCAAATTGGACATCTATCAGATGTCGCAAGACATCGTCTTAAACAGTCTGCGTGGAAGAAGTGCGCACAAGGAGTGACCCGGGCTGACTTCATACTGCCAAGGCAAACTGCGCACACATCTTCAAGTGTAGACAATTCTTCAGGCGTAGCTCGTCGGAACTTCGCCAATGAATCACACGCTTCGTTCATTTTAACAAGTGCCTCCCCTAACCTATGCCTTCCATGCATAAAGACACACACATATAAAATGAGAACAGACAACCTCCATCGTTCGTACCACGCTAACGCCGGCACCAATGGTATAGCCAGCGCCGTGGTAACACCTCTAGCCCAAACTCCACAATATAGTGCCTCCATACCCTCCAGTCTCTCTAACTTCATTGCAGACAACGCCATGGGCCACAGTTCAAGGAAGGTTCTTTCTGTTAGAAGATAATAAGTGCCGGTAATAGCCGTGTATAATGCTGTAGGTCGAAAATGCTCCAGTCCTTGTTCAAGCCCAAGCGTGAGGAGAATAAAGGTGATAGTCACTATGAAGGTAACAGCTTTAGTCCATTCGAGGACAATTTTCGTGGCTGACATGGCGAGATGCTTGACACGAGAATGTCGGGTGACATTGACGTATGGCGACCAGTCTTCTTTGGTGCATAATTCACGCACGTAATTAACTGAATATGTGATGACGTTGTAAAACATGAGCGAGTAGAGGCATGTCAGTCTTCCTTGGGACACGAATAGGCGGTCGCAAGCAGTAAACACCAGTAACTGAAAAAAAATTGAAATAAGAAAGATTGATAACGTAAGTATACACCAATTTAATCATAAAATGATAAAGTAGGCCGATTTTTCAATCTTTTTTATAGGATAAGGGTGACAGTCCACTCGATAGTAAGTGGATGCTACGGCCCATAGACATCTATCCTCGATTAAGAATCAAAGTTCAGATGCGTTATCACCCCTAAGAACTAAGATGGAACGCCTTGTTTCCAGTAAAGATGGTCTCCTTTACACTCACCATGCGTAGATGAAATGCCCTCTAAGATATGCCTCATTTTCAGTAAAATGGGTCACCGGTTCTCTACACTCACCATATGGAACACAGCAGCATTGAGCTGCCATTTTAAGCTGGTATTCTGTAAGAGGGCAGCCTCGGTCAAGCTGACCCATTCGTGCTACAACCATAATATAGCTGCAACATGATTCTACCACGTATTGATAAAAGTAAATCACAATATAAAATACAGTATAAACAAATTAAAAATTACAGTTGTAAGAATATAATTGATCAATTGTTTCACTTTTTAACCAGTCAGATTCTATTTTAATTGACCAATAACTTTTATTGGACGACTGAAAAATATGCCCTAAGAAAAATACTTTTTTTATAGAATGAGGATGACAAACGAGAATACAGTCCACCTGATAGTAAGTGGATGCTGTGTTCCATAAACATCCATAGACATCCTCAATTAAGAATAAAAATGAAGACCCGTTGTCACCCTGAGGACTGAGATGGAATGACTCGTTTCCAGTCAAAAGGGTCTCCGGTTCTCTACACTCACCATACGAAGCACAGCAGCATTAAGCTGCTATCTTATGTTGGTATTCTGTGAGAGCGTAGACCTACCCCGGACGAGCCGACCCATTCGTGCTGCAACCACAACATGGCTCTACTACATATTTATTAAGTAAATTTAAAAAATGGTGATAGAATTAACACTTTTAGGCAGTCAGAATAACTAAAAAAATTAGTAAATAGTTTATAATATTACCATAAAGTGATCGTAGGATGTTTCACAAGTATGACGTAGCTTCTTATCATCGGTGTGAATATTTAGCGACACACTTTACACGATGCTTTTAAAATTGTGTCACCATCCATAGAAGGCCATACGAGATCTCAAATATTTATTTAATAGACTTTTACGCATTTCATCATTCATCGTGTTATCCATCATTATAGAGTGATGGACGTTCGTCTAAAGCTAACTTAGATATTGAATATAATTTTCAGCAACCTGAATATACAGCAATATAGTTTGTACTAAAAGACTTCCTAACTCTGTCCTCAGTATGAATTTTAAGCAACATTTACAAAACATTCTCACCTGGCTAATCATAGTGGAAAGATTGTTCATCTGCAAAAAAAGTCGTTCGGCACGCTCAAGTGGCGCGTACACAGTCTTAACAACTCCCAGAAGACACGCCCCTGGTGCTCGAAGTCTACGGGCGACTTCTGAAAAGGATTCATTCATAAGTAAGTATTTATTACGTATACTTATACGTGTATAGCTATGATCTAGCCCAGGGGTCTGCAACCTGCGGCTCGCGAGCCACATGCGGCTCTTTGGATATGAAGCTGCGGCTCTTTAGTTTTATACATAAATATTATTTATTTTATAAAAAAAAACATTTAAAAATCGATCCACACTGAGCCATTTGGAGCTGATACTAGATCTCTAGAAATGCAATTGATCGATTTAAAAAGTAAAGCTTTGTGGAGTTGAAAATTTACTGAGTTGAAAAGTAAGTTGAAAGAGTTGGAGGTCCTGAAATGCATGTACGTAACGCAATAAAAATGGACAGCTGAGGTACTTATATTCGACGGATGGAATACTCTTCCGGATTGCTACAGAGAGAGAGGTGAAGAAATTGGCATTTGGAGTGGTGACTATCTTGGGAACGACATATTCAAGCGAGCAAGCGTTGTCTTGCATGAATATAATTAAAAGTAAAGTAAGAAGCCAACTAACAAATGAAAATTCAGAGTCGT